TTACAACATACAACTTATGACTAAGTGATCTTAGAGGACCTGTAGGAGGTTCTAACTCTTATGAGTAGTTGAGCAAAAAAAAGGAAAAAAAGGGAAGAAAGGATTGTTATTCGGATGAAATGGTCAAATGCCTCCTTCTAGGCCTTGTATGTCTGAAGCCTGATTTGTCTTTTGGTTTTCCTTGAAGAAGAGAAGAATCGCCGATTTGGTCTGAGTCATGTGACTCATTTGAGATGGCATAGAGGCTCATCAAACTCGATTTAGTGCATCGAGTATTTGATTGGGTATCCATCTAGTTAAGTCTTAAGTGAGACTTGATTGGGTTTGGGTTAATTCGAGTACAACCATTCAGTCTAAAAGGCACACTATGGTGGAGAACTGTCATGTTGTGATGGTTAAAATCTTTGGGAAGATTTTTATTTGTTGTTTAAGTCTTTGGTCATTGACATTTTATAACTAGGAGCAAAAAATGAAATGGTGTATAGATTAGCTGATTTGGACTTATTAGAGACTGTTAGAATGTGAAACATGATTTCTTTACTTCTCCATAGGTAATTTCTTTGTACTTCATCTGAAGCCCTTGTGGTGCTGACTGCTGACAACTGTAATTTTGTGATATCATTGGTCGTGGCCTCATAGGCTGTGAATTTTAGTAAGAGTTATAGATTCTTACATAAGCCTATGATCCGATTATTTGTTTATGCAACTAAATTGGAAATATGTGCTGTTGCATGCTGAAACTCTGCACAGCCACATGAATGTGGATGAGACAAGGGAGGGTTAAGGAATACAAAAAGGTGCAACTTTGAAATTCAGCAGCCAGTCTCTCAAGCTTGAGCATGAGCTTGTTTGAAAATCTGAAAGTTTGTTTTATTTGATATTTCTAATGCATAGTGCTAATATTTTAGCAAACATATAATTCGTCATTGTTTTCTTTCTCTTATACAGAAATGTTGAGAATTTTTATTGAAATTTGGGTTGTGAGTGTATATATAAAATTAATGTTTCTTGTGTCTTTTACAGAAGTTCGAGGCCTTATTTGAGAGTTTATTTTAAAACATTTTCCTATAGATTCTATAAAATTAAATGGAAAGAGACCACAGAAGAAGAGGAGAGTTAGTGAGATTTTAAATTATGGAGTTCTATCATCAAGGGAAGCTTAGGGTTTTGGTTGAGAGAAATAAGAAAATTTAGGTTGTTACCTTCAACTTTACGTTGCATAATTTTCAGGACAAAGATGGATCATAGAGAAGAATTATGTTGCCATATAGTTTCTGTGATTTCCATCTGAGGTGCGGTGGGGTCCCTGCTCCTGAAATGTAGTTCTGCTATTTATGAGCGGGAGCACATTGCTAACGTATTCCTGTACTCACTCTTGGGGGCACATTCCCCATCTTATTGGGAACTCTTTCCACTAATATTGTTAGGGAAGAGCCTCCCCTCTCAATTGGTGGACTCCATTGTGGGAACTAATGCATCTGATACGTAAATTTTTGGTTTTAAAGAATTGGGGGCATTTTCATTCTAGACCAATTGTGAAAGAGACATCAAATCCTATGATCATTCTAGCAATTGTGAAAGAGACATCAAATCCTATAATCATTCTTTTTAAGTTCATCTTGTTATTAAAAAATTTCATTATTTCTGGTTTTAAAGAATGGGGGGACATTTTCATTCTAGACCAATTGTGAAAGAGACATCAAATCCTATGATCATTCTAGCAATTGTGAAAGAGACATCAAATCCTATAATCATTCTTTTTAAGTTCATCTTGTTATTAAAAAATTTCATTATTTTCAATATTTATTGTTGGGATGCTCCCTAACGACAGAGCTTTTGGCAATTAAAGATTCCCTCTCCCAATCCTTCTCCTACTCCGAACAACTATATGTTGGGCTAAGTCTGCATTTGTGTTCTATATAAGGTGAGACTTCTTACTGGATGCTCACAAAGCCACCCTTTCTTGTAACTGTGTGTTAGTGTTTTTAATGTTTACTTTAGAATTTGAAATTAGAAACCAATATCTGTTTCAATCCAAGATTATTTGTGTGCTTAGAGCATTATGTTACCTGCTGTGCTAATTGTCAACTGAGAATGGTGGGGTATGAGTTTTCAAGACACAGCTCGTGTTGTTTTCCTTTTCTTTCCTACTGTAAACCTTCTTGTTGTTCTGCACTTGAACTTCCGCCTTTTGTATTTCTTCTTAACTTTTATTATTGTGACTACTTATTAGCGGTAGCAGGTAGGTAAATACATTGATAGGCATTCCCAATATTCCTTGTATTCTTCATTGAAACTGAGACAGATTCTATAGGCCATTCTAGGGTGGCACTGGTACACAGCTCAATCATTTGGGTATGGTGTTCTTGTTCAAAGGGAAACATATTAAGGGGAGCATAAGGTTAATATGATTAGGTTCGAAGAGATAAAATTTAGGCTTTGCAAACGTTCATGACTTCATGTTTTAAGAAAAGAAATTTGATATCCATAACCTGAGGTATGTTATCACCTATGTGGTAAACCTGGACTCTTCAACTCGGACTGTCTAAACAATCTGCTGTTGTGAAGAAACTAAAGGCCATGTCCATATTTGTACCAAATCAATTTAGTATGCTATAGCCTAAATTATTGGTATGTCAACTTTGGGTTGATCAAGCATACTGTCAATACTAGGAATAGCTCCACTAACATTACAGATTTTGAGTTTGGAGCATTAATGAATTCGTGGGAAAATCCTTTTTTTTTTAATTCTTATTTTTTTGGTAATATTTCAATGGTCAATATCTTTAGGAACCTTTTATTTGGGTTTGTGTACATTGCAATAAATTTTTAATATAAGTAACATGAGACAGAATTTAATGTGCACCCCCAGTTGGCAATGGTTATGAATTGCAATTTATATCTGGTTAAAGTATATTTTGAATTTTTGACAACCATAACCACATTCTTAGGGTGAGAATATAGCTGATTGTCTTAGTTCTAATAAAGAGTGTGCTTGTTCGATTTCTTTTGACTCTCGTTGTGGTCATGTTTGAATTTGGATGATTTTTTGTTTTAGGCATGTAAAAATGCTTTATGATTCAATAGTTGGTTCGTGGTGGAATAAAAATAAAATATTAGTTCCATTTGTTTTAACTTTGTCTTTTTACAAAATAAAAATAAAGCTTCTTTTAACTTTGTCTTTTTACAAAAATCTGAACTGCCATTTGTTCAGACAAAGAGGCCTATAGAATTTTGTCATTCTTGACATCTATCATTGTGTGTCACAGCAGTTTGGGGTTTTTATTGTTTACAGTATTTTTCTTTTCTAAATTCCTCTGTAACCTTTTCTTGTAAGCAGTAAATACTTGTTAGGTACGCGAAACTACAAAAGAGATAGTAAGAGCGCAACATGAATAACTGTGGTGGCTTAAAGTCCCCGAACCAAAACTTAGTTCTGTCCGTCTAATACACTGGTCACTTCTCTTTCTTCTTGAGATATGTTTAAAATATTAAACTTTGAAAACATGCACATAGATTGAAAAGCACTTGATAATCTAATTACCAACATTTTTAGGGAACCTTGTAGCCCTTGAAGTTCACATAAATGTCCCTGTGGGGGGAGGTGGTGATGTTCTTCAGCATACTTAGATTTTTTTTCTTCTCCTTTTTTCCCTCTTTTTTTGAGTCTGTGATGAACTTCAACTAATATCTGCTTTATAAAAGAATCCATGAAGTCATTGTATTACTTATACCAGCCTTAGTTTGAGTCAGCTGGCTTGCATGAGTCACTAGACTCGGTCTAGTTTCGAGCCTTCACCAATGTTGAAAAATGGTTTGAAGATACATAATTATAAATCAAAAGTTTATGTAAGGATGAAACCTTATTAGTAGAAGTAAGGTTGCAATAATTTATATGCAGTGAGATTGCAATAATCTACACCGTCTATCTTATTTGGATAGTATAGATTTAATATTATCTTAAAATATATGCCACTTTTTGGCAGTCTTAAAAGACGTGTCGAATCTACACCATCTAACTAAAATAGATAATATAAAGCATCATAACTTACTTGTACAGGGTCACTACTTTATACAAACTGCACCCTATATATAATAGGTGAAGGTTTATATTAGGCATTCAGCTTAAACAATAAAGTAAAGTGCACCTTCAGATTCTATCGGGAGATGCAGTTTTGGTGCCGGAAACTTATAATGACCTGAAAATCTATTTTCAACCCTGATTATCAAATTTAAAGCTCGAAAAGTGGTGTAGATCAAGCAGATCCAGACACTTAAAAATTGTGAAAATGGACAGTCCAGATATTGTGTTTCGAGATTGCACTATTTAGGACTTAAAATCCTTTTTCTTTTTCTTTTTTCTGGGTATCGACACATACCTTGGTAGAGATCATCAACTAAAAGGTTTTCCAACGTTGGAACAACCTTTTCAAGAGGTGCACCATACTT